GATCGCGCCTGCAGTCAACGAGCGCCCTGGAACGATCATTATGGGTGGAGCGGGCTCAGTTATTTTTCAAGGAGCAATGCCAACTCAAGGTGGACTAGGTCCGGTTATTCCACTGGGAGCATTCCCAACCCAGGGTACAACAGGTCTTAATATACCATCGGAAACGTTCCCACCCCAAGGTACACCAGATCTGGTTATTCCACAAGGAACATTCCCACTTCAAAATGGACCAAATCCGGCTATTCCGCAGGGAACTGCTCCAATTCAAGGAGGACCAGGTGTGGTTATAGAACCAGGTGTTATTCCAACCCAATCTAGCAGTGGTCAGCTCAGTTCCACGCCATATGGGCAATCAGGCTCAATCACTTCCCTTAATCCATTCTCCGAATTCGTTCCTTCCCAAATCCCAAACCAGCCACGTATAACACAGTGTATCCCATCTGAAACTCACATTCAATGTGTTTGCCCCAAAAATTATATCCCTTGTTCAAATAATAATCTTTTGAATCAATGCTGTCGTAGATAAGTGAGCAAAAGAGCAATATCTGCATACACTTGTTGTAGTGTTTTATCCAATCCTTTTCTGTTTTGTTGTATATATTTACGTGATTCTGATTGGATAGTGCAATAAAACGGATTTCTGTTTTTATCGCATTGATTTTAACAATACTCATTTAACGTACACGCGAATGACTGAATGATTTTTCCAAAGAATTCCAGGACATTGAATGCAATGATCCTATGAATCGCAAGTATCCATGCTTTCATCCTGAATTGTCCCTCAGAGATGACTGGGCACAAGCTAAACCAGGGTTCCGTTTACGTATTCCTTTATGGAATTGAAAATAAATATTTTCACCTCATATATGGCATATTTTATTAATCTAAACAATCTGCACTTCTGTGCACTGAGCAGACTGTGTTGAATTGGATCACATGCTTCAAACCCGATAACTGACAATTTCAACGTTGAAGATATATATACTGCATAACTGACAACCTGCATTCAATGTTCAGAGTTTAGCCAACTATAATAATGCAATTCAAAGTGTTGTCAAATTCCGGGAAGTTACATATTTTGATGACTGATAATGTGCAGTTTAAAAGTTATGTTTGTATTTCGAAAGAAACGTCATCCAGCTATGCGATTGCATCAGAGCAACACTACCGTAGGAATATCCGTAACGTCATTTCCAAAATTATCACAGTCTCAGGTTTGTTCAACAACAAGCCATCTATTCAGTAAATCATGTGTGGAAGGTTCTAGATCTACAGA